GTCAACTTCGTGTTTTGATTTCTTTAATTCACATGCTTGAGTGAGACTCCATGCTGGCTACGCCACATTGGACGAACCTCAATGCTAGACACCGACTACGTCGTGTCTACATGCACGTGAACAGAACCTTTATCTTTTAGTAGAGATTGTAGCAAGCCGCCATGTAGATTGAAAGTTCTGAAACGGACTTTAGCTCTCCATAATTCAACAAATGAATAGCTGCAAATATAGTGGATCAATTCGAGGGACACTCCTTTGCGCGTAGCCAACAAAGTTGGCTATGCGTGGGGGGTGCGAATAGAGTGTAAGCTACGGACCAATGTACATTATCACATAATTCACTCTAAGACTCGAAGCCAAAGGGTTGCGACAATGGCCCTTTTGGCTCAAGACCCACTGCAGCGTCAGAGAAAACAATTGCAATGCGGAAGCTGATGCCCTTGTAACGTCATCACTGGAACATCCACTTTGACATTGACTATCAGGACATAATCGGACAGACAATCACCGATTCGCACATACATACATACATACATAGATACATAGATACATAGATACATACATACATACATACATACAGTCTATACATACAGTCCATACATACCATGCCATGCCATGCCAAGCCATACCATACCATACCATACCATACCATACCATACATAAATTATATGTATATAAATTCATACAATATATATGTATATATATACACTATAGTAATGAAATATGTATTCCACACCTCTGGTCGCAGGACTTGCGCCCTATGGACCTGCGGTGCAGGCTTTGCTCCCAACGAGGCGCTGGTTGGGTGCCACTGGCGTCCATAGGCACCCCTTAAAAGGGTGGTATGATAGAGTTAGAATGGGAATCTAATGGGAATATCATGAGAATCTCATGGAATATTCATGGGATATCAAAAAATGGAAGATTGATGGTTAATCTGTTCATGCTTTTGCCCTACGGGTGTTGCTAAGAAAACCATCCAAAAAAACATCCACAAACACCATGGAATGTGGCTGGTTATACCCCATTTCTGGACGACCAGTGGATCTCACTTCTCAGTGGATCCACTGTTATCACATACTGAGATTGGCTATATTGGTCACTTAAGTGTACCCAAAAAAAACTGGCATACGGCTCGACAATTCCATACTTAATTGTTTCCCAATATTTTTGGTTGAGTATGCGAAAAATCCCCCTGTTTGTCCACCTATGCTGTACACTTCTATGGCAAACTGGAGCTCCCAACAACAAACCATCCCCAAGTTTGATGGGTTGATGGGCGGTACAAACCAACCCCACTTGGAGGTTTATCTCTATTTAGTTTACCACATTACTAGTCACATTACCAAAAAAACATATCAATATCCATTCATATCCCGGATGGCATCTCACCAATCATAGGAACACTCATGTTAATATAGTGGTATAACTGGTATGTGACATGTTCCTATCATATTCCGATCTGCCAATCTGTGAGGCCTATGCCAAGAATGTGGCCTCGAATGACCAACTTTGCTGCGACAAGGTCTGCGGCAAAAACTACGACGCCCGGACGGTCCGGGCGGGTTCCCAATGAGACATCTACCGCCCCCAAAAGATTGAAACGTGTTTCCAGGATGGTGTAGATGATATTTACCACACATTTCCAGGGTTCCCAGAGTGATATCTATTTTGGAGTTGCTATATAGGGAACGTTAGTATGTTTTATTTGGGGACGCGTGAAGCAATTCAGTGATGGGTCTGTCCAGAAATGGTGGTACTGTAGCAAGTTGTGCCTATTTAGCGAGAAAATGACACTTTTCAAACGGCTGAATTTTGGCTGATTTCTACTGGTCGGTTGAGAGCTGCGGCCAAAGCCACTGATCAGTATAGAACCACTGAGAATGGGGATGCTGAAGAAACAACATGTTGAGGAGTGGTTAACCAGGTTAACCAACATCAGCATTTCAATCCAGAGTTGTTTTTGTTTCTTTTCAGGTGAAATCCTAGTTTTGCAGAATCACAAACTGGCGGATTAGAATTCCTTTTACCAATGGGTCCAGGATTGCCAAGTTGTGGTTTGAGCCAATGCCCATGTCATTTCCAATATCTGGGACTTTCATCAGTGCAGCAACAAGAACTAAGGAATGCGCTGACGGATGGTGGGGTGTTCCCAGCTCCAAATGGCTGTCTCCGGATGGAAGTCATTTGAACATGGTTCAAAACTGATCAAAAGACTCCCCAAGATGGATGGGAATAGATGGTTTGATACTCAAAGCGGGTAGTCTTGCGGGTCGCATCGCAGGGTATTCCATTCGGTGGTTCTAAATAACCCTCCACATGTTAAAACTTGGTTCTTGTTTATCCCCAAAATAAAATTGTTTTACAAGATCACTTAAATGGTGGGCGGTTGCCTTCTTCCGTGCAACATAGGATGTCCCTGGGTTCGCTTCTGGGTGTTAGCTTCGACCTGCCATCCCAGAAAACCGGGTAAAATTCTGTTGACATCTGGTGAATGGATCAGAATTGGTACCCAGAAAAGGGGCAACAAAATGTGGCTTCCGAGAAGAGTTTTTAGTTTATATAACATGTTTAACACATCCGCATCGCTGTCTCATCTGTGTCCCAAAGGTCTCCTTTGAAAAGCAAAGAAAACACACCTGGCGTCAGCAGCGAAGATTGCTGTGGAGACTCGCTGGCAAACTTCCCCGGAAATGGAAGTAGAGGAACTGGACATGGGGCACAAAAGACACAAAGACAAACAAAAATAGATAAAATATATATGTATATGTTTTCAACCTGTTATCAATATGTTGGCAGTTTTGTGCATCAAGTATCCTTTGACCCACATTCTACCTGCAAATATGATGCCACAGTAAAGTGAGACACCTGGGTGCAAAACTTGGGTCTCAGTTGAGGGAGTGGAGACTTTCAGGATCCAAATGTCAGGGTTTCCTGACTTCTATACTTCTGGATACTTCTGGATACTTCTGGTTCTACCGTTTCCAGTCCCCGACTCCATTTCTGATGCCACTTTAACATATCCGACATAAAAAATGTCTGAGTTTTTTTGGCAGTTTAAGGTCATCGGCTGGTAATTACAGACCTAAGAAATCGTTGTCAGATCCTAAGAAACGACCAGCTATCCGTTCAGCCTCGCAGAACGAGGAAAAACCTGCAGCCTCTTCGAATGTCACCTTGGTGGCACGGGTTTTATCGCTGCCGCTGGTGATCTCATCTTCAGTGGGATCTATTTTTCAGCAAGATGATGGTAAGCTGTCAGATCAAACAAAATGATGGGGACAAACAATCAAAATTCTTCAAATGTGCATATGTACGTGAATGTACATGGTACAACTGATACAACCAATGCTTTGGTATTCATATCACACCTGATCAACCAATCATGACTCCAACATCTTCCATGGTTCAACATTGTCCAACCTTCCGAGGCCCAGATGAATTCGCACTGAACCCGGCGAAGAAGGACGTCATCGCCCAGGATCGCGACAGTTGCTGCCTCCCTCTCTGCAAGCACCACAAGCGCCTTGGGCTGCGACTCACGAAAACGCAAGAAAGTTGGGGGGATTTCATAGGACTTCAAATTACTGTAGGTCAGGTGATTGTTTCTTGTGGATAGGACATTTCCTAGCCATTGAAGCCGTCATAAGTTGTCCCAGTTCACTGAGATCTTTTTTCGGGCACACCGAGTCGACTCGTTCTGGATGAGTTTCAATGCTCCCAATTGGAAATCATCGGTTGTATGACTCCTGACTAAGGCTGATCAGAAATGAATCTTTACAGTTCCCGTGAAAGTCTCCTGAAGCATTTGCATTGGCAAAAGCCGTTCGGCTTTAATTTCGGCAACACGGCTCCAACCGGGTCGTCACAGGTCGCAGTTACATCCTGAGGTGCAAGAAAGGTTGGAAGCCAGATCCCGCGCAACAAGACAAACCTGGCAACACCGAAGCTCATTGCTGTACCCAGGACATTCTTTGTGATCAGCTCCGACTGGGTTGGTTAAAGGATCCAGACAATCCAGGACCTTGCAGAATTTTATCTGTATACTGACAGAGGATCTATGAAAATTGTGGGGAACCAGAGAAATCTGGTTGTTTTCTAGAGAACGATTTGCCTTTGAACCACAGTAATTATATACAGAGCAGTACATACGTGCTCTCTGCGCGCACGCCCCTTGCAGGAGTGCGCCCTCTTTGACCACCTGTGCATCTTGACGAGACACGGGGTCTCAGTTCTCTAGTGGCCATTTGGTTGGGTGTACCCTCTGGTTATGTCAAACATAGCTATTGAAAATGGCCAGTTATAGTGGATTTGTCCATTTAAAATGGTGATTTTCCATAGTTATGTAAACGTTTACCAGAGGGTAGGTACCCCTTTGTCGCCTCAAAATGGGATGGTTCAGCATTCGAGGGTACAGTTTTGCTGAGCCCCGTGGTATCCCATGTTGGAGCCATGACGGCATAATCACCCTTGGATCGGCCGCCCAAAATGGGTGTTTTTGTTGCAGCTATATCACTTATATCACTGAGTATATCACGAATAGTTTGGTGCATTAAGCTACTGATGTTATTTTGTACCGGCTGACTCCCCAAGTCCCCAAGCTGATTTCCCTGCGTTTATCTACGCGCTAAGAGGTGTCTATGGTACCTTTGGATGGCCCTGTTTGAAAAAACAAATCCGACTATTCCATATTCATGTGAAAAAAATGACGCGCTTGGCACAAGCGTCTATCAGCATGCATAGAATGCAGGTCAAGTACCCTAATGGGTTTTCAGTGCAGCAAGTGCTTGCAGCATTTGCTTTCAAGTGTGTATATATATATATATACATTTACAGCTGAACACATAATGCACTAAAGATTGAAAACAAGCAAAAAGCCTTTATCCAGCCCAGCGCATTCTCCTCATTATGTCCAAACGCCCAAGCATGATACTGCAATCAAAATTCCTCCATGAATTCATATCATATCACATCACATCACATCATATCACATAATATCATGTCATGTCATATCATGTCATATCCTGTCATATCATGTAGCATTTAGAAGAGAATGTCTATGTATATAATTACATGTATATACCAACCATGACTCTGCATCCAGTCACCCTGGGTATGGATTTCTCTTCAACCCGTTCGACAAGGCCCAACGAAGACGGGCGTGAAGCCGGAACGTCGCTGTGAACAGGGCCGCAACATCGAGCAGTGCTGCGACTACCAATGCAGCTGCTTGGTGAAGTGGGTGAAGTGGAAGCGAGTGACCCGAGTGCTGAGTGGTAAGGAACACGGGGTACCGAAATAATCCGAAATATGGTACGGAAATGAGTGTCGTCCTCAAGTCTGGGGCAATGGGTGTCATACGTCAAGCATTTTTTGGAGACATCCTACCTTTTGTAAATGATTTTCTTAAGTTGGGCATTGGCTGTTCATCACACTTCTATGTTGTGATTAGCTGCAGCTGTTGCCGGTGGTGGTGTCTAGCGGGCTGACAAAACCTGACCAGATTCCTTGGCAAAGAGTGCAATAATTCACGACATTCACAATGATAAGCTTGCGTTTAGAGAAACTTGTTTTTGATCGATGCGCCCTTAGTCATTTTTTTAGCAAACTCATTACTTCAGATGATTTGACCGGATTCGATGGTCACTGCTCAATTCCTACCACTTAAGTTCATCGGCGTAGTTCACTCGCGATGCCCCCAGGATTGGGCATTGGGCATGGGAACCATTTTTATACAACGACTACATCGCAATTGTGAAGTGACTTCCAAAATCCAGGTAAAACATGGTATAACATGGTATAACGTCAAACACACGTCTCAAAGCCATGCAACGCTTCGTGGCACCATGGCCGATGGCTACATGCGCGCCATTGAGGTGCCTTCAAATGCAAGGATGGCTGGGTCACCAATGTCAGCGCCCAGGAGGACTTTGGCACCACCAGCGAGGTGCAGAAACTTGGGATGTCACGTGGTGTCCCCACTGGACAGGCAGCTTTTATGTTTAAAGTTTAAAGGAAGATATGCATATATATATAGTTTATAATAGTTTATGTGTGTGTGTTAGTACAAAATCACGACACTTGGGTTTCACGATGTGTTAAACGTAGAAGGTGTTGTTGGCGTCACTTTTTCACGACTCGAATCATCCACTTTTCGGGGGATCGATCGCAGAATTTTCAGCCAGGTGTGCTGTTCACCCACCTGTGCACGATTTGACTGCGATGCGGTGTCTGGGCAAACCCAACGATAGATTTACCAGAAATGGATGGTACAGGCCATCGGCCAACTGCTTGTTATTGAATTATTGGGTTTACCGCAGTACGTGGGTTTAGATGTTTAGATATTCTTTGATTGCAGCATGTGCTGCAGACCTATTATCAGGCTTGAAAGGAAAGCCTAGGATGAAATGATTCCCGTCTCAAGTGCAATCTTGTTTGGTCATAACACATCTGACTGTGTACCAATATTGCTGGCTCAAGAATCCACACATCATGTTTTGAGTGTCTTCAAAGGGATCGATGTTGGAAAAATACTTGTTGAGTTGTTGATAGTCGGGAAAAGGATCCCAAGCTGATCTAACATGGAATTCATTGTGGGAAAGGGATGGAAACGAGCCCAAGCCATCCATGCTATTTGTTAGTTGCAGGATGTTGTTCCATGACACCATTTGATTCACGATTTGATTGGCAAACACTTGGGCAAGTTTGAGTATCGGATGACAGATGTGTGTCGAGGCCGACCAAGGAGGGAAACTCCCCATTCGCAAAGTGCGACTCTGGAGGAAGCATACCCAGATATCATGGTAGATAATACGTGTGTGTGTGTGTATACATATTATGATATAATAAATATATATATATATACATATATATATGCTCAGCGGCCCCAGTAGGGCCTACCTTTGCCAGTGTTCCACAACATGATTGTCCAAACCTTGTTCTCATCGTATGTATATGTAGAACATGTGTGTGTGTCCTGTACGCGGTAGCTTCATCTTCTTTATAACATATTTATTTTTTTAATATTCCTCTCTATATTTGCTCTCTGCTTTGCAAGTAGTGTTCCAAGCGTCTCTTACATTGTCAGATAAAAATTCTTGCAATTCCTCTTTTTCCATCACTTGTTTCATTATACCCCAACCAACACTCAATGGTTTTTTAAAAAAATCTCTCCAAATATATGATGTTTTGTAAGACCTAAATATGTTTTTGTCTTGTCTATAAGAGTATCATCAAAAGCATTACCATACCTACTGTAACTAGCTTCTGGTACATTATCATAGTACTTTTCATATAAATGTGTCACATATGCATGTATATCTTGTTCTTCTTGGTATGTTTGTTGTATTTGGTGTGTGTGTGGTATTCTTTTTCTCATGTAGGAGTATCTTTATCAAAAAATATATGGTAATGAAGCTTACATTCAGTATTTTCCTTTTTCTTTTTGATACACAAGCCATCTCATATGGCTTATCACATTTTTCAGCGTAAATCATATAAGCTGACGTATTTTCTTTATTTATTGAAGACATATACTATAAGTAAAATTAAATTTATTATTGGATACCTATAGTATAATTTATATAAAGAAATAATGCAACCATAGATTGTATAACTTTGTAACAAAAAATATAATACACTTACTACATATGCTATCTAAATATTGAATAAAGAAATTCAACAGGCTAAACTAGAATTTTATATAAAATTAGCATTGTTGATATGTGTATATAAAACAGATAACATCAACGTTTTAATACTACTGAGACAAAATATTTAATGTAAGCTAGTTAAATAACGTCTTATATGAAAAATATAAGCTATGAACTTACACGAATAATTATTTACACCGTATAAGTACATACCTTGCCGAAATATTATTGAAGATGATTTTTATTAAACAATCTTACCATCCTAAAAAACACAAAAATATTTTTGTATTGCCACATTTTTAATATTCCTTGATTACCTATATAATCATGCATTTTAATTTGATTTTGTTTTAACTGGTCAGCAAAATATGTTCTTGCCTTATCTATTCTTGGCACTATAACTTTTAGTGCTGGCTGAGTAGCAATACTCTTTATTGTATTATGATTGATAATACTCCTATCACCCATATCTGGTGTTTGCATATACACCTTTCTAGGATCTCTAACTTTACAATATAAGCGAGTTTTTCCTTGTCCATCTTGACGTTTTGTTATATCAAGGCCATTTGAAAGATGTGTTTTACAATAAGAACCATAGTCATGTATTTTGTAATCTGAAGAAGTTTTTATTATATCGATAGAGACGTCTATCTTACTTGAACAACATTTGGCTAGATATTGTATGTCTTGCTCATTGCCTATTCTTATTTCACATAAAAGAGAATTATCTTTGCATTTTTCTAATTCGTTCTTGTTCTTTTGTATAAATTTGTATAAAGTGTTTCATTACCAAGTTCCATACAGATTCACTAGCATTACAAATGTTAAATTTATATGCCTCACGTGTATCATAACAAACTTTTTTACTTTTACAAAATAATACCACTTTTTCTTGACCGTAATCATATTCAGAACAAAGTTCATGAGTCATACTTGATGGACATTTGAATGTTGATCATACAGGATATATGCATTGATGACAACTAACTAAATTAGATCTTTTTTTATATTTATATTCTTGTGTTGGACATGGCTTCTTAAAAAGATAATTATATGTTCTATTCTGCCATGGATCGCATATAAGAACTTGTTTTTCATTTCCATATTGTACATATACAGCACATAAACAATGATCAGCCGTCCAGAACAATCTGCGCACCTTTAATGCTACAGAAAGATTAGGAAAGTGTTTTTTTTATCTTTTTTTACCTGTTCATAACAACAAGAAACTAATAAATCAAATGCAAGATCAGAGCATTCTTGGCAATTTCCAATTCCCAATAATACAGATCCCATTCTACTTGCCATTCTATACGTTTGAAAATCGTTACTGCTTTTAACAAAAGCACGTAATAAATCTAGTCGCATCGTATCTTGACGTCATGTTGCAGTAGTATTTCTTTTAAGGGCAATATTTCCTCTAACATTTATAAGTTCTCTTACTATTTTATTCACATCCTCTATTATAGTTTCATAATCTTCCATTTTGTATACGGTAATCACATTTAAATATGTGGTGGCCGGGCCAGGGCAGTCAGGCTCGGAGGTAGTATGAAATACCAGTTCTGTACGTATGTTTAAATGGTAGGGCCCACTCCGCATGTTTAAAAAATTGCAAACCACAGGAAATATATGCAGGTAAATGGTCCAAATATATGGTGCTGATGATTTGGAACACTCTATGAGTCAAGTTGTTAAAGTTAGACCCAAAACGATGGTATTGAGAGCGGCCTGTGGGATTGCTTGATGAAGTTTAAAGATTGTGGATTGGCATCTCCTGTAAGATAAGGATGCAATCTGTAGCCAGAAATGGCCTAGGAACACAGCTGTTTGGCGGTTCATCCAATTTGGATCAATTTGGTAAGTAGGAGACATGTACCGCGGATGATAAATTGGAGCAAACGCCTTTCTAGTTCCCTTTTTTTCCTGTTTTTCCGCGACGACACCTTCGGTGGCCTTCGGTGACCTTCGCTGCTGTGCGGCACCAGGTGCCCCACGGGCTGGGGATGGACTGCAAACCCCAAAGCGGTGATGTGTTGTTCACGAGAAGTAGGGGGGTTGTGCAAAAACACATTATTTCTTAGGAGGAGGAGAACACCTCACAATGGCGATGGGTTACAATTTCAATTGCCAAGACTTTCGAACAGCCACGAACAAATCCAGCCATGTCCCATGTCCGCCTACACATTAACAAATGGGCCAACAGCCGTTATGGCTCTTGAAGCGACAGCATGTCTCATGGTTGCACATCATTATCATTGGCAAAACGAGGACTCACATTTCTAAAACATGAGTGACCAAATACACTATTAGACTATCACTACACGCACCGCGTACCCATGGCATGGCGTTTGTGGAGCTTGGGTGGCAAAGAGCTTCCTGCGTGGGTTCAAAGCAGTTCAGAAGGTGTTTGGAGCTCCTTGCCTTGCAATCAGGCTTTTCAAACTTGCTTTTTCAGAGATTCCCTCTTTCAGGCGTTCCTAGGTGGATCTTGTAGGTGGATTTTCTGGGTGACTGTCAGGTGGAATTTCAAGGTGGTTTTTCTAGGTCCACCTGAGAATGTTCCAAAGACATTTTCATTCCACCATAGAACGGTCCACCAACGGATGTTATCTCATGTATATGTCCCATTCCAGATTGCAGGAAAAGATGACAACATCAATGCTCCTGTGCTGCTTGGGGATCGTGCAAAGCTTCGGTCCATCAAAATTTTCGACGTGCATGGCGAGCTCTGGCTGGATGTTGAGCGAGGAGCAGAAGGTGCTTGGCCAGTTCCTCTGGAGTCGTTGCGGTGGGATCACAAAGCGGACGCGGTCACGTTTTTCGGGCTGCAAGCCAACCCACAGGAGCGCCGGGCCACACATGCTCATTCAATAGTAAACCTACTTGCTGTATCCTGCTGTACCATATGTGGCAAAGAGAGCCTCAATAAAGTGCCCGTTATATAACCAAGCTTCCGCCAAAGGAATTAATTAGTCCAGAAACCCACCATATTACCCAAAAAGAGATTAGCCCCAACACATCATCGGTCGCAACAAACATCAGGAGCCAGGCATCGGCTCTAAGCTTGCTGCTCATGTACCTTGGCCATGAAGCCGCGAAGGGGTTACATGATGTAAGCAAGGGATTCACAAGGAGTATAGCTAGTTACTGTGCAAGACTTTTGAGGGCAATGGCAGTAGCCAGAAAGAAAGCATTCCTCCAAAGGATAAGGGTGCGGTTCTACACTTTTCAGGCGGCGATTGCGAAGAGTTCTATGGCTGATCAGACTGCTGCAGTTTCGTGGATAGATCTAGAAAGTTCCAAGGGTCCAAGTGCAAATGGCTATGGAAGTGTTGGCCCAGCTGAATTTTTATCCAATTCTAATTCATTCTGATTTGCGATTTTTCTTTCCACAGGTGTCGGCCCACTCCCTCTACATTGGTGGTGACTTTGTGAGATGCAGAAATGAAGGGTGCACGCTGGAAGCGCTACGCAAGAATCGTTATCGCTATCGCTACGTGATCAAGGGCCAAGAGCGTTATTCGAAATGCCCATTGCCTCAGGTGGAGCACCTCCACGAGCTGCGAGTGATGGCTCGTGGTGGTTCGTGAAAATTCGTCCATTTTCCATATTTGGTTCCAGACATTGCTGCAAAGAGTTGTTGCCAGTGCCAGATCACTTTTGTCATTACTTCGAGTCCCTTACTACCACATACCACACAACTGGTCACCAGTCGCCAGCTGCATTGCCGGGCCTACCAGAACTATGGATACTATGGCGCAGTCTGCTTAGCGCAGAAAAAAAATGTGGTTGCTCTCTGGCCCCCCCAACAACAATGATTGTAATGAGCCTTTGGAAGTTCGTTGGGCGGTGAAATTCTGTCGCTTTGTTTCTCGACAGCTGGGAACAGGTGTGACAACATCCCTGAATACATGTGTGTCTAATCATGATCCTAGGTTGTACTGTACTATACGATTTTGGCTTTGGTGGAAATTCCTTTCATTGAAAATTCGAACTGGGTGGAAGCGCCTGGTTAGAAATTGCTTGCTTCTCTCTTTCTGGGTGCAAGTTAAGTAGGTGTGGTTGCAAGTTAATTAGGTGGAGTTTCCTGGAAGTTCCTTGCAGTGCTCCTGCTCCTTCTTGGAATTCCCTTTTTGGAATTTAAGGGATTTGCTGGCTTCCATCTTTCTGCAGAGAAATTTCCTAGGTGGAGTTTCTGGGTGGGGCGTCTTTCTTCATCGCCCAGACTCACCTGGGTGGAGTTTCGTGGGTGGAAATTCTTTGCTTTCCTGTCGCTGGAGTGCAGGTTACTTAGGTGGAGTTTCGTGGATGGAAGTTCCTTGCGGCTCTCCTTCCCGGAATTCCTTTCTTGGAATTTAACGAAGTTGCTGGCTTCGCTTTTTCTGCAGAGAAATTTCGTAGGTGGAGTTTTCTGGGTGGGACATCCTGGTTGGCAATTCTTTCCTTTTCTTTGTTTTGGGAACCAAATCCCAGGTGGAATTTTCTGGGTGGGGCATCCTGGCAGCTTGGCGTCGACCTAGTGAAAACATGGCGGATGTGGAATTACCTGGCTAGAAATTGCCGGAATCTTTCTTCCTCAGCAAGACTTATCTGGGTGGAGTTTCCTGGCTGGAAGTTCCTTGCAGTTTCCTGGCTGGCAATTCCTTGCTTTCCTTTGTCCTGCAGAATGAAATTTCCTGGGTGGGTAATTCCTTGCTTTTCTTCTTCCTGGGGTAAAACTTCCTAGGTGGACTTACCTGGTTAGATTTGTTGGCTGGAGTTTCCTGGGTGGAAGTTTCTGGTTTTGAGAAGGGTTGTTGGTCCCAGATGGTGTTTTATTCCTAGTAGAGTTTTCTGGTTCCTTTACTCTTTTTGTGGGTGGAATGTCCTAAGTGGACCTTCTTAGCTTCTTAGTCGCCGTTCTTGGGTGGAATTTCCGGGTTGGAATTCTCTGGGTGGGGTTTCCAAGTTGGACATTCCTTGCTCTCCTTTGTCTTGGGGGGCAATTTCGTAGGTGGTTCCGCCATGTTCCGCCTGTCTGGGTGGCACATCGGGACGAAAAGAATGTCCACCAGCTGCAAACATGACCGTCAGAGGTGAAATGTTTGGATTTGTTAAAGACAGACTATTGACTACTGCGAAAGCATTTGCCAAAGATGTTTTCATTGATCAAGAACGAAAGCGAGGGGATCGAAACGGTGGACATTTGCCATTTGCACCAGGTACTGAGCTGGTGGAGCGGTCGCCGGCAGCTCCTTTTTCCGTATATTTAAATAGTTAACTTCCGCATATTTGAGATGGCTGGCCGGGCCAGGGAAAACCTGCCCGGAGGTAGTATAAATACCTATTGCATTGTTTAAATATCCGTATATTTAAATGTAGGTACCGTAGATTTAATTGTAGGTCATTGTAGGTTACATGTTTTATTAAGACATCACAAGTTTTATGATAGCTTGTTCTTATTATTAATAATACTAAAAAGAAAAATAATGCAACTATAAGTTGCTTTAAAAGACATGTTAATCTAAATATCACAAGGTAGTACATGTTACATGTGCAGGCATGCTAAAAAATATCAAAGCCTGCATATTACATAATTTTAATCAGTTTCTCAACACACAAACATATTTTGGCATTACTACAGTTTTAATACTTTAGTATTCCTTGATCACCTAACAAACAATGAACATCAATTTTATCATGTTTTAATCGTAGAGATTTTCAAAGTGATGATTTTATATTTTCAAGTGATGAATGGCCAGAAATATTTTGTATGAATTTCTCAGCGATAATACTTCTACCACCCATAGGTTGTCTTATCATCTCAACTTGTAAAGAAGAGCAAAATCAAATTATATATAATTTGACTGGAGATACAATTTTTAGTATTAGTATCCAAGCCAATTTGTTATGAAATACAATGTTTACTTAAAGTGGGAAAAACCAAAAAAAACTCGAGAAAAACCAAAAAAAACACAAAAAACAAAACGTTTCAGATAAATTTTGGTTTGGAGTTCAAAGTTGGTTTTTTTTGGTTTTCCTTGAGTTTTTTTGGTTTTGGGATGCAAAAAACAAAAAAACCTTGAATTTGTTTGGTTTTTTGATGATAAAAGTGCCAAAAAAAAACTCAAGGAAAACCAACTTTTTACAACGACATGATGGAACTAATACATGTAAAAACAAAAAAAACCTTGATTTTGTTTTGTTTTTTTTACACTTTTATGAACAAAAAACTAAAAAAACAAACTCAAGGTGTTTTGGTTTATAAGAGTCCAAAACCAAAAAAAACTCAAGAAAAACAAAAAAACAACTTTGAGTTCCAAACCAAACATTCTCTGAAAAGTTTTGTTTTTTTTTGTTTTTTTGGTTTTTCTCGAGTTTTTTAGTTTTTTAGTTTTCGTTTTCTTGTTTTTTAATTTTCATGTGTAAGGATCTAATAAAACAATACAGATTTTCAACCAAATTTTGGTTTTGATTTTCTTTAGTTTCAAAATTTCTATAATGTTTTTATTTTCTTGCGTTATTTAGGTATACTGAAGTTTTTGCTGGTATTCACAGTGTTTTTTGATTTTTATCTAACATCAATCATCTTTATATGCAATTTATATTACTAATTAAAGCAAAAGGTAGGCCCTACTGGCTGGGGCCGCTGACCATATATATATATACATATGTGTAATTATGTATATTATAATGTGTATACGGATATATTATCCACTCTCTCGGTTTGTTGCAAAATTCTTGATCCATTCACAAAATCTTTACGCCATAATCCCAATTCGGATATCTCTCATAATTCGCATTTTCCAGCTGAGGCAGATGGTTGGCTTCCCATGCCCAAAGACAAGGCACTTGCCAAGGTGCCATGGGCTGTAGCATCAAAGGTATATCCCATGGCCCCTGTGGGTTTTTCGACCCGTGACATAGAAATAAGATAAATAAGGGGCTGTAAGCAATCAAAGGATGGTGATGACCAACAGGATGGATAGGATAGATGCACACTATGGGGACAACAACTGATCTGTGTAAACAGATGTTTCTTGAGCGTACGAGCCACGATGAATACCCAAATGGTGGGGTATTTACCCAAGAAAACATCTATAAGCGACAATGTAGTTTCTATCTTGGGATTTCCTCAATCTCAATCTTTGTATGTAGTATTGTATTTATTTCTTTACATCTTTATTGTATACATCTATTATCCCACGGTTGTCCCATGAAGCTCCCTGGGAAATCGGAAACCGCAGCTTCCGCCAGGCGGGTGAAGACTCAGAAAGCTGCTGCCTGCCAGCCTGTGCTCGCTATAGCTGCGGCAAGGGCTATGTTCCAAATCCCCAGGTGGCGCTGCAGGGTGGAAAGGGGTGGCCTTTGTGGAGCTTCGAATTCTTTGGCGGTTTACGAAGGGAGCCTTCGTCAACAGGTGGTTCTGCACCTGTGGCACAAAAAGTTTATGATGATAGCATCTGACACATGGATGCAAACGAAGTGATATTTTTTGAGAATGAGTTGAAACAACCCAATCAGCCAATGTTTGAAAACATGTCTTGTTCGGACTCGCACTGGTACGTTTCAGCTGCATTTTGACCTTCCAAGCACCGATTCAGAATGGATGATGAACACAATCTAGGTACGTGGTTGGTAGAATGCTGGGGTATTATCCCATCTATCAATGGATTTGTAACATTTTGTAACTATGGTTATGAACCACTTAAATGGGGAACCCTCCAACTGTATTTCTGACACTCTCAGTGTTTTTCGTCTCGCAGCTGACAAAGTTGAGCAGAATTCCAGCATCCGGTGACCATACCATCTCACCCCCCAACGGAAACACCCATATTGCACAACGTATGTTCCATATCAAAACTGACACAAAGTTACGCGGCGTTCTACAAGCCGCTAAGAAATGTTCATGGGAACTTGGAGTGGGCACCTTCATTTCGACCCCAACCGTCCCCAGCAGATGTTGATGAGGCCAAAGCTTTGAGCAAAACAGGAGATGAGGTGCACCATGGGCGCCGGGAGTAAGCTGAGTGGGTATGGTTGCATGGCTTCTGATCACTGCCCGGTGAATCGCAGCTCACGGCAACGGATATGAACACCTCTGGAGTTCTATAGATTTTTGGTTGCGATTGATAGCAGCAGGCATCTCGGTCTGAAATAATCAATATCAATATCTATATATATATATATCATATGCACGCCAATGACACAACACTAACTGATTACAAATGTGTTGTCCGCACTTCTTGTTAAAGACAATGCCCAACAGAGATTGGAACCAATGTCTACAGCTAAAAAACATTTCTCACCAAGATTTGGGAGGTGATACGTTCATAAGATTGAACAAATTGATAATTGGAGGTCCCAGTTTCCATCACATTCCATATTGGATTGTGTATACAAAGATATACTATACATAATATATACATAATGTATCATAATATTATCACATATTATCTATAAGAATTCACATTGAAATCCTCGGCATTTGGGATGCCAGGCCTGTTGCAGCAAGACCTGCGAGAGCCACACCTGCGGCAAGGGATTTGCGTCTCGGCTGCTAAATATATAGTGATTATACAGTGTAAGATGTTTTTGCTCCATGTGGCGATATCCTCGGCAACACACGTGAATTTAAGCTAGGTATATGTATATTGTATGTATATTGTATGTATATGTATGTATATATATAATATTATGTATATATATATATATTACATTATATTATATTTCATTACATTATATTACATTATATTATATTATACTACATTGCATTACATTACAATACATTTTATGACATTATTGTATTATATATGGTATTATATTATATTATATTATATTGTGTTATATTATATTATATTATATTGTATTATATTATATTATATTGTATTATATTATATTATATTATATTTTATTATATTATATTATATTATGTTATGTTATATTATATTGTATTATATTATATTATATTGTATTGTATTGTATTATATTATTTATTTTATTATACATGTAAATACTACATTGTCTTATATTCCATGGTTTTTCCCATGTCTTGAGGGTCTCAATGCCATTCGTTTTCCCGAGGTGCGTCCCCCCCGCGCCAGGTGCCGAAAGGGAACAGCAGCGAGCTGGTGGGTCAGACAGACGAGGCAACGGTAGGAAAATGATGGGGGAATTGTGCAGAAAATTGTGCCCCCCCAGTTATAAAATGGTTTATAACCCCATCTAAATACAATTATAAGTTATAAGTATCATACACTAGTGTTATTATAACTCTGGGGCCCCATCCTGTGGGTAGTTGCCAGATTCTAACCATTTCTGCGGGCCAAGATATGTTTTTTTTTTTTGGGGGGGGGGGTGAAATCCATATTCCAGGAATTGAGTAGTGTTCACATGGCTTTTGAATTTGGTCTTTTAGCTGCAGAGATGTGTAGATAAATGGCTGGCTGGTCAGTGCATGTTTGAGCATGGGAGCAGACAGTGTTCATCAGCACAGGAGTTGGTGTAGAGCCACCAAGAATGGAACTTCCCAGCAAATATCCCTTGGTTTCTCTTTTCCATCTTTGCCTGAATGATGAATCAGAATAGCCAACAACTCAAGTTATACCACTCGCTTCGGTTGAAAACAAAAACCCGATCGAATTGGGATCCGTTTGACGTGAAGTTCCAAGATGTTTTGACAAAACGCCCGTTTGTTGATTAAACAAAGCCCATTTGTTGGGAGATCATGACGGCGTGTTTTTAATCTCCAACCTATGGCTGGGTCCCAATGATATCCAAGCCCAGCCGCAGACCTGCATCAAGGTGTTTTTTCAAACCATGTTTCCAGAGCAGTTGTCTACATTTGTGTTGTATCCGATTTCTTATTTTCTGCATCCCCAAGCTTCTCTGCATGATTTGTGTTCTTGACGCTCTTCCAGTTGTTCATGAGTAGGTGCCCAGCACAGGCATGCTGCGAGCCGGAAAAGTGCATTGCGATTCGCTCCAAGATGTGTCCCGGAAGATGGGGGCCATACAAATTCAATGGATCCCACTGAGCAGTTGATGGGATAGTGCCTCCTACATTCATCAATGTCTGGAGCGAAATTAAGGACAAGATTCGGACAAGATCAAGGTTTATTGACATTCCTTCAAGTGGGTGATAAGTTCCTCAAAAAGTGGTGTCCCTGTCGTAGCAGAGCAGGGAACCACTGATGTGAACCTTTCAAGCAAAGCAAAAGGGATCATGGTTGGGCACATAGGTGTGGTTGGGCATGGTTATATACACATGTTATCACATACCAGTATCATATCATTAAGTAAGTGGCATTTTTCAGCATCAACTGCACCCAACTCACCAAGGACAAGGACAGAAGACGGCTGCCATTCCGTGAGCATCTTGGCTGCGCTGGCTGCATACGTCAGTGAAAATTCATGTTGTGAAATTGATCCAGCCAACGGTTTTGCAGGTTTTTATACCGTACGAGAGACACCGAATTCACTGATCCGGAAAGTGTTCCGTGTTTTGGAGGATGGTCAACACAGGCGGTCCCACTTCGATGCCAAGCCACAGATTCCGCGAAGGATGGAACGATAAAAAAACACCGCTGAGATTCGCAGCCTATGGGCCCAACTTTGCCCAATAGACGGTTACAACCGAGGCGAGAAAGATTGCAACTCGCGCTACTACAAATTCAGTGACTTGGTGATGCTGATTGCTGATAAAACGACAGGTGAAATGCCAATCTTTGAAAGACTGTATCAGGATGGTTTCATGTTCGGCGATCAATTGAACTGGTAAAAAAGCAGCCCGCAAGTTGAAAACATGGCGATACTTGTGATGTTTCCTCCTTTGTCCATCCCTTTGTCCATCTCAAGGTGACAAGGACAAGACCACCGTGGTGCCGTGGCGGCAACGGGTGAACTGACAATGGAAAATCCCTGTTGAATAAAGCCACCTGCGAATCATGCTTCCTTTTTCCACTGCCCTGTTCGACAAGTGGTTAGTGATGTTTTCTGAATGTATTCTCTCACATTTCTGAATGTATTCCCCCATGTTTTTTCTGAGATTTGCTATCAACGTTGGGGAAATCATCGTTCCTCCCATCGTTGCGTCGTTGATTTTCGCTTTCCCCAGGTGCAATGCAGTTTCGACGAGAAGCTCCAGCTCTGTCGGAACCAGGGCATCCACACCGTGGGATGTGCGTCGCCACAGCTGCGGGTGGCAGCTGGTATCAGCCATTGATGTTCAAAATGAATCACCGAATCAGCCCTAAGGTAAATTCCATGTAAATTCCCCGTTCGACCCTGAAAAGAACCAAATGTTAATGGAAACGTATGGAAACTAATCTTCCAAGGCCTATTTGACAGGATCTATGTTAATGTACAGGGTATCTTAGATATTGTTAGATGGCAAGAAAGATTTTTTTCATTGGTTCCAGGGATGATTGGATGATTAAAAAAAATGTCAGACATGATATATTATGATGTATTATTTCCTTATATGTATGATATCTATGATAGTTGAGGACCATCACCATTGAATGGCCTTAAAACTGGCCATGTTTTCGACTCGGTCGAGTCATCCCATTGCGATGAAAAAAGGGGATCTTCGGAATGTTCCATTGCCATGATTTGCCATGGTTAATTGCCAGAGGTACCTGAGAATGTAAGGACCGTAAGGACCGGTTGAGGATGTTGAGGATCTGGCAGAATCCCATGGCCCAATCGAGGTCTATTCGAGTGAGTGCGTGACCTTTTGTGCTTTGCGAGCACAAAAGGTCCTCAGGTCAGAACGAGGAGATTGAGAAACAAACATGGGACTGTCAAAGAAAGATGAGAAAGGAGGATGTAACCTAGATGATAAATGATGATAATGTTTGTGTGATGGTGTTTGATGGTTTTATTTTTTCCTAGAACTACTTGGTCGAAGGGGGATCATTTTCATCGTTAGAATCCCTATCCTCAGCTTTCAACTGTCCAGCCTGAGCTATTGTTGACGTGTCCACTTCGTCCCGATAGGGGTCTAGTTGAGGTAACTCATCACTTCCACTTCCAGTTTCCTTGTAGCTGGAGTTGGCAGCATTTCGAGAGACTTTCTTTGAGGAGATCCATCAATGTTCCCAAAGTTCCCAAAGTTTCGAGACAGGAGCAGATACATTCAGAATCAAATGGGTCTGAAAATGGGGTTTAAAACTTCAAATGCTTACTATTTCTATGGGGACATTATGAATATCAATTGGATTTAGAGGATTTTAGGAGTACACGATTTGAAAAGCCCAAATCACTCTGGGAATTTGGCCGACCAGCTGTGCAACCATGGCTTCACCATTCCCTCACATCTTCCAGGCCACGGAGAAAATGCCTCAGTTTCCACGTGCCAACTGCCAACTTCTGTTTAGCATGTCACCATATGTCACCTCACCCGAGTCACCCAGAGCTTCCAAAGCCCTGATTTAGATTGAACATGTTGAAATGCATCACATCACAAGTCACTTAAACTACTCTGAAATACAGATTTCAACCAAAATCCCACTGTGTTACAGGTTTGAACCTCAACCCCCTCATTTTCCGCAACAAAAAACCTCGCCATGGCGAGTCGGCAACGGTCAAAAGATCGGCGGGCCTCGGCACTGGTGCACGAGGAGAGGTCAAATTTTTGACGGCCATGAGAGCTGCAATATCGTTTTTGGGGGTGTATGGTGTTTTAACCATTAAAAGATACAAACATGTAGGGATATAATTGATCAATGGTGGCTGGTTGATGATTTGGAGGGATTATACTGCCCGATATTAATTCCTGATGATCATCATTGATGAACTGGGAATTTCGATTAACAAAACCAGTATAATGGAATGGCAGACGATTCTGAACACTGCACCCAGAAATCATTCCCTAACCTTAACATGGAACCTGATGTGTTGGTTAGATCCAAGTTCGGAACATGATCTTCTCCCCATTTTCTGGGGTTCCTTCTGGCGGTGTTGAGATTGCACCATGGAGAGGACTAAATGGGTTTTGCCAACAGAACAGATGTTTGGTTGAGAGATGTTCGATAGCCAACAAGGTGCAGTGCGCAACAGTCCCCAAAACGCTGGAAATTGACTTTATTGCCAGAGGAGTTAGGTTTAGTTTCTCGAATTTTCTCGGGGTAACGGTGGTGCCAGCAGAGGGACTAGGCAAAGCCACGGATTGAGTTGTCGTGTTTCCAGGCACTGGCAGCGTCTTTTCAGTCCAGAAAAAACGCTTGACTTCGAGGTAGACTTGTCTGGTCTGTTTCCTTTGCTATTTGGAATCTATTTGGAATCTATTTGGTTGCAGAAACGGTTTTGATGATATTTGATCCTCAGTGGCTGGACACTGTGGACACTGTCTAAACAGCCTGAGGAGCTGAACCGAACGGTTCAAGGCTTCATCACCAAAGATCATTCCCTGAACGATGTGACAGTGGCATTGCACAAGGGCAAGGACCAAATCGGATTGGAACAGATTGGAACAATGGAGCTGATATAAGCTGATATGAGCTGATATTGTCTCCTGAACTTCCTGAAGATGTTCTAATTCAGAGGAAAGCATTAGGGTTGAGACGTATAGGAAACCGCCGTGTACTTCGACGTTGCATTTTCAGGGCAAACAGTTCCGTTCAAAGCCAGGGGTGTCTGGACAGCTGGATATACGTCAAGTTTTTGGAAACCCAAGAAATCAGCTGATCCAGGGTCCGTCAGGGTCCGTCAGGGTCCGTCAGGGTCCGTCACATTCACAGATCCTACCCAAATGGGGCACTCTCGGACCCCATCTCCATGGACCACCGGTTGTCATCGCTCGGCTCAAGATCGGGAACATTGCGTCGGCACGCTGGACGCACGGCCATGACGGGAGGTGGATAACCATGGGTATGGGTGAATGGTGCAGTGGCGAACGTGGCGAACACCATTCAGCATCATTCAATATCATTCAGCTATATTCCGCTGATGGATGCTCATGATGTTCACTGATGTTCATCCAACTCACACATCGGCTCAGTCCAAATCATGCATTGTCAGGAACTTGGGAACTATTTTGGCTGATCGATTTCAATAGCCATCCTGGTTTTCTGGGTCCCCAAGTGACACGTAGACCGCTCAGGAGGGAGCATTTGTCGTTAGCACATGGAGCAAATATGAGCAAATCTGCTTTTTGCTGACAATTTGAATGCCAAAAAAAACAGATCAGGATAGATCAGGTATATATATGTATATTATACTATATGTATATATGTATATATTATATGCCAGTCATTGGAAACTTGGACAATCACCAGATCTCCTGCTTCACCATGAACCAATGGAACCAATGAACCATCGCTGACGGTCAGGTGCACCGCAGCCTCCCTCCTTCGCCCCGGAGGTTCATAAGGGCGACATCCCCAAGGCCTGCCATTGATGATGGTTTAACAATGGATTGAAGGGTAGCCTGTGTTTAGAAAATATGATATGTAGATAGAGATCTGTATATAATAATATATGATGTTTATTATATAGAAATATGTCATTATGTTATTGGTATCTCATTTCTCCCTGCAGCTGGACATATTTTGAGGGCTGCGAGCTTCAGGAGTACCGACTGCAGCGATACTACACGGCAGCAGACATTGCAGGGCACAACACGGCCCACAACTGCTGGGTGTCGTTCTTCGGACGTGTCTATGCCTCTTGGCGAAAGATTCCAAGTTGGATTCATGTTGTTGACTCCAAAGTGTGGAAAAAAACATGGAGAAAAAACATGTTTTTTCTGAAAAATGGGAATGCTCGGAAGAATGCGGAAACATTTCGAAGAATAAGCGAATTGACCACGCCAACCTCAGAGACTTTTGCGTATGGCCCCGGGATGCAACTCTGTCTGGGATCTCATTCCCAATCACACTCCAGATTGCCCCTGTCATTGTCCCTCTGATCATGTTCAGTTTTGATCCAAGATCACCATGTCCATCTCGGATGGGCATCTCCAAGCGATATCGAAGTCGTCTCGCCCAGGACTTGACACCTCTCTTGGCGGAGTACAAAGGTCCACTGGCACAGCCCATCATCGCCGCCGCGGGCTCCGACATCTCCTTCTGGTTCGATGAGGCGTCTCGGTCGAAGCGGCACCCGGAACCACTCTGACAACTCTTCATCTGGAGTTGTGTTTAAACAAACGGATATGGAAGATATGGAAGATATGGAAGCAGGCTATAGCGGCTAGATTCCTCTAGTTTCACTTCAGTGCCTGAGATGGTCACGGCATCCACCTTCCTGAAACAGCGGGCCAGGCCACCGGTCAGCCCAAGATGCATCTGGATCCGGTCACAGGGATGCAGGAGAGATCTGGGCCGGGTATGACCTGGCTGACCTGCTATGACCTGAAATGGGAAGGCACTTACCCATGGTTATCCCATGGTTATCCCATGGTTATCTAAAACCCAACTCACATTTTTCAGTGTTACCCGGCCTGGCAAACGTGCAAACGTTGAACTTTGGAAAGATCCACCATGATATCTAGCTGGGATGACAAGCCACATCCTAAAGATGTGCATTGATCGTCTCAGGATCTTCAACTACCCAATGTTGGTTTGATCCATCAGATTTAGAAGAAGAAAATTGGTTGATGGAAATGAATTTATCACGTTCAAAAAAAATATGGATATTGATGCTGGCAAAAAAATAAAACATTAGAAAAGCAAGTTGGGACATATATAATAAATATACATATAATATATACATGACATAATATTATAATATATATATATATATGAATCATTCTATATCGGATATAAGCCATCCCTGTCACAGGAGATCTACTGCCCATGGGGGCGCTACATCCATGTACCTTGTCAGCGGGCAGAGAGGATGCTTGAACTGCTTGAAATTCCATGGGGAACTCCCGAAATCCAAAACATTTACCCGGTTATTTAACAGTTTGCCATGGAAAATGGTCCATTTATAGATGGTTTACCTATTAAAAATTGTATAAAATGGTGATTTTCCATGGCTATGTTAGTCATAACCAGAGGGTAGATCTATTTAGGATATCGACAAACATGACCTAAAACTCGTTGGTGTCCTTTCAGACTCAAACCCCTGTGGCTTCATGGCTTTTCTTGACGGTTACCCTCTGGTTATGACTAACAGTTTGCCATGGAAAATCACCATTTTATACAATTTTTTAATAGGTAAACCATCTATAAATGGACCATTTTCCATGGCAAACTGTTAAATAACCAGAGGGTATGTTGATGGTTTCCACGGGATTCATATTTCCACAGGGAAAATGAATAAAGCTCGGAATCAGCCCAGGTGCCTCCACAGGTGCGCCAGGGGCGATGGGGCGATGGGAGTCTTAAACCACCAGGTTTTAATCTCAGTTGCTCAGTAGATCAGTTCCATGGGTAGATTTTGTGAAGTCGAAGACGTCCATTTTTTTCTGTGAATGAAAACGTCATGAAAATCAATTCGAAACCAAAACAGAAACCAACATCCAACAGGTGACAGGAATCCAGGTGAGTCAGCCGGCCGGGCGCAGGGCCCAGAATCCGATTGGGCTACCGATTTCGGAACTCCTTGGTGGGAAGACACGCAGCATGGCAGCACCCGGGGCAGTGAAAATCTCAGAAACTGTACAAGGTGAAGCCCCCAAGAGGTAGCTAAGTTGATGCACATAACTTGGTCGACCAGGGTTTGTGGGGATGTACCTGATACAACGCTATGCAACTATAGAAAACTATAGCATTCATGGGGTTTATAAAGCAATAACTGTGCCTCACCTTGTACGGAGGAAGTCTGAGTGCAACTCTTTGGGCACAAAAATAGAATTTGCAAGGTTAAAAATGGACATCGTTCGAGTTTGTTTGCACATGTGCAACATGCTTGGCTGTTGATGTTTGATGGGCACCTCAAATCTGAAAGAAACATTTATCTGAAGTCGACCCAGAATCCAGTCGGATTGACGGTTTTTTTTAAATGGTTTTTAGGTCAATGTCAACTTGATCAAAGATGCGAAGATGCGATGATGACTGAGACTGATATGACTGATATGACTGATATTGCTGTACCAAGCTGTGGCTAAAAAGAGCCATCTTTCAACATCTCATCTTCCGAAATTGCCTGCCATCGTGCAAAGGCGATATTGGATTGGCCTGCGCTCAGCTGCCACTCGAAAGATTGGCATTGTGTTTCTTGGCTTCCGGAGCTTCCAGATTGTCCAGCGATTTGAATAGCTACTAATAGGTACCCTCTGGTAATTTAGAAAAATAGCTATTGAAAATGGCATATCTATAGATATTTATAGTTGATTTACCCATTAAGGATGGTGATTTTCCAGTTCGCAAACTATAAACGTTTACCAGAGGGTATAATGTGGTGGGATAAAATCGATGGATTTCTGGTGTTTTTCGATCACCAAGATGTTCATCCCAAATTTGGTGACTTCCAAACTTCATCAAACGTTAGTTATATATACCCTCTGGTTATTTAACATAGCCATGGAAAATGGCCCATTTATAGATGATTTTCCCATTGAAACCTCCATTTATGAGGGACTTTCCATGGCTATGTTAAATAACCAGATGGTATATATAATTATATATATATAATTATCTGGGTAAATTATAACGACCTCACTGCGACTGGAATCATAGTTTATTTTAGGGAAATTATCCCCAAATGGGCCGCAAGATTCAGGTTAGTGAAATATTATAATTTAAATGGTTTACCTATTAAACATGGGGATTTTCCATGGCAAACTGTTAGTCGTAACCAGATGGTAATTATATAATCACCAGGTATCTTGGTTGAGGAATCCAACAGGGTCCATTTCTACTGGAATTTCCCGCAGATCTGATGTGAATGGTCAACCAATCTCGATTTACGGTGACGATTTTATGCGAGGAACTTTTTTTTTGTGCATCTCCTTCATCTCATGTTGGGAATCATCAAATATCAAATTATCCCGAGTTGTTTTTGCTTTGATGCTTTTTTGGTTTGGTTGTTCACCTCATAGATTGATGATATCCAGATCAGCCAAGGAATCTCATGACAAGACAAAAGAATACCTTGGAGGCAGCATCTGGCCATGGCCGCGGTGCAACGTGTGCAATGTGTGATGCTTTGCTGAGAGGATCAGCTTTGGCTCTTGTCATCTCTTGTCTATATAATTTACTGGTTGGTGGTTTGGAACATGGCTGGATTATTTTCCCATATATTGGGAATTTCATCATCCCAACTGACGAACTCATATCTTTCAGAGGGGTAGGTATACCACCAACCAGATATAAATTATCTTGGAATGGAAGAGAGTTAGATGATATGTCCCTTTGGCTCCTGTCCCGTGGAAAAAATGTGTGTTCCTGTCAGCAGTTTCAGCACGGGCAGTGTCATCCACGTGTTACCATTACGAAGTTTCGGGAGAAAGGATAGGCCATATCTATCCATATCTGGCAACGCTATCAGTCACCCTTTTTGGGAGGGCAAGTCATGATCAAGTTTGTGACCCCATAGGCAATACACAGAGGAATGGCCCATCATACAAGTGCTCCGCGTTTGAACTTAAAGTTAACTACTTGACTAAATACTACCCTTGTAATTTCTTCCATTTTCAGTAGAATGCACTATAAATATCTGTATATTTTGAATATGTATATGATATGTACATATTTATACATACATATATAATATTATGTTTATCTTTAATTTTAATTATTATTATTATCATAATATTATCTTATATGTATATATTGATGTTATATAGCCATTTCACGTTTACCCGCAAGCATTCCACCCTTCAACCGCACTGTGTCAGTGGAGGTGCCAGTGGAGGAGACGGTGGCAGAGATTCAACAACGAGACTTGGCACGGGCGCTGACAACCGGATGAAATTCCAAGGTTTACAAATCCAAAAAACATTTCATACATCTATTATTACTATATACTATATGCATATATATATATATTATTATAAATATGTATAATATATATATATATATTCTATAAACACATATATATATACTACGAATGTATACTGTATATATATATATATATATTCATAGAAAGAATACATATCATGATCTATACTGGGCCATATTGTGTATAGGGACCACTATAGAGGTCGTAAGTTACACAGAGCACGCGGCTGGTTTCAATGGAACCCCGATCAACGGTTTCCCTCCAAAAAATTGATCCAAATGTCTAAGCGCAAAGTGATTTCTGTGAAATATTACCGGGGATATTTGGGGATATTCCCGGAACCAAGAATTGTGCCGTGCACCAAATGTGGATATTTGCCAGCCAAAATGAATTGTGATCCCTACAACCTTAAACAATGATTCTCCGCAAGTTCCATACTCTTCAGCTGGGTTTGTTTGTCGGTTCGCCACGTCCGAGGATACCTGGTGCACAATGCCCATGCAGGCAGGTTGCTGTGTCTGCTGCTGCGTGAATCATCGGGAGTGCAAATTATATAATTTCTATGTTTCATAGCACATTTGCAGACTTGTTTTTCAAAAGAATTGAACAAAGGGGTTTTACCCTTCGGTAATTTAACGTAGCTATTGAAAATGGCCATTAATAGTTGATTTTCCCATTAATAGCATGGTGATTTTCCATAGTTATGTAAACGTTTACCAGAGGGTACTAGCCATCCACCCAGCATGACTTTCCGATCGAACGTCAGAAGGGGGTGCATGACTTTCCCCACGTTGCGTTGCCCAATATGTTGGGTAGACGGGGCACCGATGATCCGCTGAAAGAGTCTAGTCACTAGTCACTAGTATAAAATAGTGCGTCCCACGATATTCAGGGATGTCCTGACATGAAAGGTCACTTTGGAAAACTTGAAATAGAACTAAGCGCGATATAGCGCGATGAAGAGTTTGTTTGGGTTATTTTGCTAGTGAGCATGCAAAGCTGGGGTGCCAGGTAGCTATACCTGGAAAAGGCTTGGCAAGCCATTGAACATGGACAAGACACTGGCAGAGAACGGAATGGAGGAGCCTCCAAAGCTGGCATAGCTGGGGCAATGACATGCACGTGGAATTCCAGAAACAGCCAAATGTATCCAAGCAAGCAATGGCCAGCAATGGTTTTGTTCTGTTTTGTTCTCCTAAATGTGGATGTTTCACCATTTCACCATATCACCATATCACCATATATCACCATATCACCATATATCACCATATATCACCATATATCACCATATCACCATATCACCATATATCACCATATCACCATATATCACCATATCACCATATATCACCATATCACCATATATCACCATATCACCATATATCACCATATATCACCATATCACCATATATCACCATATATCACCATATCACCATATCACCATATATCACCATATATCACCATATATCACCATATATCACCATATCACCATATATCACCATATATCACCATATCACCATATATCACCATATCACCATATATCACCATATCACCATATATCACCATATCACCATATCACCATATCACCATATATCACCATATATCACCATATATCACCATATCACCATATATCACCATATCACCATATATCACCATATCACCATATATCACCATATCACCATATATCACCATATATCACCATATCACCATATATCACCATATCACCATATCACCATATATCACCATATCACCATATATCACCATATCACCATATATCACCATATCACCATATATCACCATATCACCATATATCACCATATCACCATATATCACCATATCACCATATATCACCATATATCACCATATATCACCATATATCACCATATATCACCATATATCACCATATATCACCATATATCACCATATCACCATATATCACCATATCACCATATATCACCATATCACCATATATCACCATATCACCATATATCACCATATCACCATATATCACCATATCACCATATATCACCATATCACCATATATCACCATATATCACCATATATCACCATATATCACCATATATCACCATATATCACCATATATCACCATATCACCATATCACCATATCACCATATATCACCATATCACCATATGACACCATATCACGCAATATATCAACCAGATACCATCTCACCATATTATCACCATAATATCACCATATATCACCATATATATCACCATATCACCATATCACCATATCACCATATCACCATATATCACCATATCACCATATGTTTGTTATATGGATGTTCCAAATCCAACACCCAGCGAGCACCCAGCCGGGTCCCGGGGTCGCTGCAGCGATGCGATGTCCAGGATGAGACCGAAGAGTTCTTGCGCTTGTCCATTGATCTGGATCACCACATCCCGGTGATCCACTTGCATTTCAACGACGACTTGACCGAGGCGAAGCGAAAAAAAAAAAAACACACCTGGTTGGTGGTGACTGGAACATGGCTGGATTATGGCTTTCCATTCAGTTGGGAATTTGATCACCCCAACTGACGAACTCCATCATTTTTCAGAGGGGTAGGTATACCACCAGACACTGACGAAGCCAAAAAAGGAGCTGTCGAAAAATTGGTTTACGAAGGGCTTTCATCAAGGGGTTTTCACTTTGATCGCGGAAAGTTGCTCTCAAAATGTCATACAAGACCCTAAACGGATGTTAAAGATGGAGTCTGGGAGGCGCCAAATTAAGAGACAAAAGAGATACTATAGAGACATTACCCTCTGGTAAACGTTTACATAACTATGGAAAATCACCATGCTATTAATGGGAAAATCCACTATTTCTATGGTCATTTTCAATAGCTATGTTAGTCATAACCAGAGGGTATATTCCATTAAGTGGATTATAATCCCATTAAAACCCATTAAATCCCGTTAATACCCATTATATCCCATTATGTGTTTTTGCCTTAGACCTTTTCATAGGCCAAATGTCTATCATTTCTTTGGTGTCGTTAGTTTTCCGTTCCCTTCTGTGCCAGGCTTGAGCTGTGCTGAGCGGCATCATCCCATCCCATTGAACAGTGGAAACATTACTCTACCCTCTGGTAAACGTTTACATAGCTATGGAAAATCACCATCTTTAATAGCTCAATAGCAAAACTGTTAAATGACCAGAGGGTACTTCAATAGGAAACCTTGATATCCCCCTCCCAAGTTGCATTGTTGACCCGACAGCTCAGCGCTCGATGTCACCATTGCAGTGTTTCACCCGACGGTTGTTGGTCCAGAGGCACGTTTGTTGGTCCCCAGTGAACTCGGGACTGTCAATGGCTCAGCTGTTGTTTAGGACCTAAGAAATCCCAACTACAGATACCTCGAGCAAGAATAGTTACCATCTGGTTATTTAACATAGCGATGGAAAATCACCATTTTTAATAGGTAAACCATCTATAAATGGGCCATTTTCCATGGCTATGTTAAATAACCAGAAGGTAATGAATAATTAACATAAATTAACAAATAATTCGATGCTAAAGGTTCGCTCACGCATCGCTGGATTCAATCCTAGCACCGCTGTGTGAACACAGCATGCGAAGCCTGCAATATGACATGCCCAGATCTGGAATCTCCTGACCCAAACCATACCTGGAGTATTTCAAAAGCTCACCCTAGTTGCTGCCATTGAGCTGTTTGGGTCTTGAGGTTTCAAGTTCCCAACCCGTGATATCAGTGATATCCTTGGCGTATTTTTTAGAATATCTATGATATCAATTGATATATATATATATCAATTGATATCACATGATCCATTGAAAAACCCGACCATTTTGACACTCGGCTTGTCTCAGGATCCACCGATCAGATCATCCGATCCGTTTCACAGAGGCCTCGATGTGGGCGGACCGGCGAAATGCTGGCCCTGCAAAAAGGTCCGGTGGTGCCACGGTGATGCCAAGGTGACGGGAATCTCAAGGGGAAAAGTTCTCATTGTTTCCCAAAGTCATCACAGTTGTGAGTGGGTGATGAGTTGTAAATGTTGTAAATGTTGTAAATGTTGTGATCCAAGTGGTAATAAGAAATCATAAGCAATGAAACAGTGCGCTGGCAGATACGTATGGGGGGCCGTCCCAATGTTTTCAGAGCTCTTCCACATCTCCAAATCCATCCAATTCTGGGTCACAAGTTCGACCAATGATGGCACAGCCCTTAAAGTCAACCCGGATAAGTAAACCTTTCATGACTAATGGGATTTAATTGGGATTTAATGGGGATTTCATGGGGATTTATAGGGATTTATAATTTATAACCATGGAATTTTTACCATGGTTGATTCATCAAGGGTTACCCCATGGGGTTGGTAACCCATGAAACGACAGGAGCTGCTGGGACAACCAGATGGCCTGGTGCATGGTGCTGTGGACAATGCTGCCCTGGCCCCGGTGACTTTCATGGAGGCAAACCCAGCCATTTCCACCCCTCACAGCCCAAGTTACCATCTGGTTATGACTAACATAGCCATGGAAAATCCCAACCATAAATGGAGGTTTCTAGCTGGGAAAATCATCTATAAATGGGCCATTTTCCATGGCTATGTTAAATAGACAGAGGGTAACTAGGAAAATATTCGTAGGATTCAAGCTTTCCATGCCAAGAATCATTGGTTTTGAAAAAGCCTGAAATGAACGAATATGTTCTGAGTTCTGGACACGACCCATTGCGTATCTATGTCGTAGAAACATTTGCCCATGTGTTTTTTTGACTTCCCCATATAATTAAGTCACTTATGATTTATGAGTCAGCTTTAGTTGTAGTGGCCTGATCTCATGAACCTTTCATAACCGTCACGACATTCATTGGGGCCCACCGGACGACATGATTTTCGCCAAATATGCTCCCCAACATGACTTTGAACCATTTAGATGTGTATGACAACATCTTTTTGGGCTCCAAATTTGAAGACACACCAACGCATTGTTGATGTTTGTCAAAGTCCCTTTTGCTGTTGGTTAGAAACATCAGTCGTGTTGTTGGTTTTCTAAACTCGCTTGCAGTTTTTTAAACGCAATCCCATGTCCGGTTTTTGCATTTTTGCCGCTTAAATTCCCATGTTTGTTTATACGGACCAATGTTTGTTGGGTGTTCATCCAATGGTTCAGCGGATCAACCCCAGTCAGTAAATCTCCCATGTTCGATCCGGATCCACCGAGATGGCAACGATCAAAGAAGTCCTCACCTTCAGGTTCTGTCTCCATGGCCCGCAGTTGCATAGCAAATTGATATACTGTAGTATGATAGTGGATAGTATGTTTATTTATTAGATATGTGGATATATGTACGTGTATATATATAGTTTTGTAGAAATATAAAGCCTTTCATCCTATGTATCCAATCTGCATGAATCTTATATGGTGATCTGTAAAAAAACTGTTGCTGGATTTGTAGAGATGAAATTGTATGCTAGACGTTGCTGATTTGTTTCAATATGAGGCAATACCTGGATCTGTAAGTTGCTGCTCCAGACCTCAGGAGGTTTTCAAGAATGACAATGTCCACAATACGGGCACAGTTTTTGTCAGTTGGTCTATGCAAACTAGATTCCTTAGATTCCTTAGATGTCTTCGACTTGATTCAGATTGTGCGTCAGAAGTCATATGGACAATCTGAAACATTTCAAAATTTCGAAACATGCCACCTTCTAAGAAATTCTATTTCCCACATCGAGGCATCTGTCGATTTTGGCACAGGCTCCAAGAGGCCGCCGTAGACGCCATCATCACTGGCAAGCGCAAGGCGTGGCGATAGCTTTTGATGGCCCTGTTGATGGGAGCAATGATGATTCAAATGGTCCATTTTGTCTCCCCAAATCTTCACAAAGAATTCATGGGGAATAGCATGGAGTATGGAGCCAAAATGGATCAAACATTTGCATGTTGAATTTGGAAGGTTTCATGATTTTGATGCACCTGGATGATCCGACCATCTCTGATCTCTGGTGATATTCAGGGGGTCAAAAAACGAAAACGCAACATCCCAGTGATGCGATTTGTGCTGGAATGCCTGGCAGCCATTGCCTACATTTCAGCTGTGCAGCCAGCAGCCATGGCAGGGTCAAAGCACCAAAAAAGTGAAGCAGTTCTCCAAGTCACTGGTTGACATCGAGGCCAGGGAAACCTGAGATGTCACCGATGTCACCGAGTCGTCACCTGTGTTAAAAGGGTGACCTGACCTGTTCTCTGATCCCCAAGTTTACTGAAGGTAGCCTCCAGTAATCAAAGCTGTAAAGAATCCACCATTGATATTCATACAGTTCATACAATTCATCTGATTCTGGATATGAAAGTGAGCTATACTTCAGTACCATAGCTCCCAAAACACATCAAAACACCTTCTGATCACTATTTGATCACCGGTAGTTTCAACATGTTTCCGCAGCCATCGTGGCTCACTGCGAAGCCCTGACCGAGCACTGGCCAAAGGCCACTGACCCGGGGCGTCTCGTAGCGCGTAGCTGAGACGGTGAGCGAAACCGAACTGGACACCAATAGGATCCAAGATATCCAAGGATTGCACCGAAATCTGGTGATCCGGAACGGAGAATGATGCGAATGGCCAAACCCGGACAGTTCAATATGATGGCTGTACTGCGAGTGGACCAGGCGGGAACAGGATATCACAAGACATAAGAAGTGAAGATGGTGTTCAGTCATTGTAAAGATATGATATAACCTTTACATACCTTTACTATTAACCAATGTTTATATCAGTTATATCCATTAATTACTGACCTTTAATGATAGACACTGATGATAGAATTTTCCGAGGCGCCTCGGCTCAGTAGAATAGTCTGGATCCATGGAAAGGTTGATCCATCATCTCAAAGATAACGGGCCTCATGTGAGCCGAGCACATCACTTCGATGACGACTGGTGCGTCAAGCAAAAGGGATGTGAGTTAAGCCATACCCACATCCAACATAGTCGCAGTTAACAAGAAAAGAAGCATTTAACCTTGAAATTTGCAGGTTTGGCACCCAAGCATTTCCATGAAAATCAGCAACAACTTGAAGTACATTGAGTTCCACTTGTCCAGGTAATCTAATCGGTCACTCATCTCCCATGATTGGGGATTTTCTTAAATATCTACCCGGTAATTCAGGTAATCTACCACTTTGCAGTGGTTATAAGCTGAGTGGAAGAACTTGGCTGAGACAAAGCACTGATTTTTTGCCTCGCCAGGACTCCGACATGGAGATGCTCCTGAGTCTTCAGGAGGATGTTTCAAGGCGCGTTTGTTGTCATCGGGTTTCCTAAAATAGGGCTACCCCAATAGCTGGATGGTTTATGAAAATCCTATTGAAATATGGATGAATTCAAGGTACCCTTATTTTAGGAAAGCAAACAAATATGTTCACCTGGATTCTTTGTTCTGCAGAACTTGCCTCAAGTTAGAAACATGCCTATAAAACCTGACTCGTGGTTTTACGACCAGGAACCACAAAAGTGTCTAACACAAGGGGATTTTGGTGTATTGGAACATGGCCATTGGTCATGTTTCCATCCTGAGATGACCAAAGAATCCATGGCCTAAAAAGTTGGTGCCGTGGATTGGACCTAAAAAGTTGAGTCAGTTGAGTCCCTCGATCAATTCATGAAAAATAGAGATCTGCCAGTAGATCTCTCATCCCAAAGAGAGCAATCGAACAACAGACAAGAATCAGTAGATCGGCCAGGCTGACAAGAAAGTCATGGCGCAGCAGGGCCATCTTTGTGAATGTGGTGTCCAGCCATTCCCGATCAGGTTCGAAAAAAAAAACGGGTCGGGAAGCGAAGATCTCACGGGAAAAGTGTCCGATATCGGATATCGGGCTCTAAGATGTTTTTGCCCGCTTATGCGACTTTCCACTTTCAAGAAAAAGGATGAAAAAGTTTCAAAGCTTCCACTTGAACAATCTTAAACATGATATCTTCCTTGATATCTATGGATACCTACTAAACCATACTAAACCCATAGGATCCCGGTCTGAAGGGATCGATCCCCAGACCTC